GAGTGGGTTGATTGGGTGGTATTATAGTTGAGTGAGTTATGTTGTTATAATATGAACCATGCAAGAAGATAAAGACGAGTTGGGTGTTGTGTTGAGTTGTCTTATATTCTGGGTTACAATAAAGTAACTTCATGTTGGATGTTGTGTTGTGTCTGTGTGGGTGTGGGGTTAAAGTTAAATAACATTATCCTAAAAAGAAAATATATATTGGGTGTTGTGTTGTGTCTGTGTGGGGTTACATACCTAATTGTAAGAAGATAAAGATATGTCGTGTATTGTGTTGTTTTTGTGGGGTATTGTGTTCTGTATGTGTGGGATTGGGTATGTTTTTTCTTCAACTTGAATTGTTTTTATAACTATTTGGGTATGTGTTTCTTTAGTCATATTATTACATTCTATTAGCAACTTTTACTTAATTATTGTTATGTTTATGCATATAGGTATGAGTGGGTTTACATTCATCACTTTAAAGTTGTATCATGGTAGGGCCTTATTGTATGAAGGTGATAAAGCAAGATATGTGGGTGGGTTAGTGAGTGAATATTATGATATTGATGTGGATACAATATCATATTTTGAGATTAAAGACTACATTAAAGAACTAGGTTATAGCCCAAATTACAAATTTAGTGTCAATATCTCCTAAGATGCAACTATTAGGTGGCCGGACACTAAATTTGCAATTTGGGCTATACCCTAGTTTTTTAATGTAGTCTTTAATCTCAAAATATTTGTATCCACATCAATATCATAATATTCACTCACTAACTCACCCACATATCTTGCTTTATCACCTTCATACAATAAGGCCCCACCATGATACAACTTTAAAGTAATGAATGTAAACCCGCTCATACCTATATGCATAAACATAACAATAATTAAGTAAAAATTGCTAATAGATTATAATAATATGACTAAAGAAAACACATACCCAAATAGTTATAAAAACAATTCAAGTTGAAGAAAAAACATATCCAATCCCACACATACAGAACACAATACCCCACATAAACAACACAATACACGGCATATTTTTATCTTCTTACAATTAGGTACAACACAACACCAAACATATATTTTCTTCTTAGGATAATGTTATTTAACTTTAACCCCACACCTACACAGACACAGCACAACACCGAACATGAAGTTACTTTATTGTAACCCAGAATAAAGACAACTCAACACAACACCCAACTCGTCTTTATCTTCTTGCATGGTTCATATTATAACAACATAACTCACACAACTATAATACCACCCAACCAACCCACACTCAAAACACGTTTCATATAAATGTATAAATAACAAGTTACATACCCCATAACAACAAAGGTCACAGTATGAATATATGAATAACATCAATCCTAAAAATACGAAATTTGATATCTAACAGAACCATAACATAAACCCTACAAATAAGCTTAAAGTTATATTTCACTCAAAATCGAAACCAATATTTAACACATATTATAACCCCTACAAAATCTAAGCATAACAATAACAAAAAACAAAATAAATGAAGAAAAAAAACTAACATTTGAACTCAACTCAACCACGATTCTTGCTGAATGAAATCGACCCACACTTTCACGATTGAAATCGATGCACACATGCAGCACTAAAACAAAAACTAACTATCAAAATCCAACATCGAAAATGAACTATAAGTTTGAAATCAAATTTCTAACCTTTGTTGATTTTTTGAAACCAAGCTAAACTTTCCATCTTTCTTTCCTTGTTCCTTTATCTTCTTTTTGGTAAAGTAATTTTGAAAACGTAAATGGCCAGCTTTTTCGAATTTGGAATGTGTAAAAGTAGTTAATAGTCACTTTTTAGAAAGCTGCAAAAGTGGAGTCCGGCTCGTGTTGAACAAACCGATCAACCTTTCTGATTATTATTGTCACGTAGGTACGAAAGTGGTAAACAATTACTTAAAAAAAAGTTGGAGAGGGTAATAGGACCTCATCAAAAATAAGGTGTGTTTCAGGTATTTTGGGTATAGGCTAGGGGGTTAATTGAGTATTATCCCTTATTATTATTATTATTATTATTATTGTTATCAAATTATTTTTCAAAAAAAGGAAAAATACATAATAAAGAAAATCAATTATTCTCTTATTAAACTTTGAAAAAAAATAATTTATATTTTTTTTTAAAAAAAAAAATCCCTCTTCCCCAAGCCCCAACTCCTTGTTTGTCCCCTACACACACACCCTACCTCTCTCCGGGAAAATCCCCGGTGTTCCCGCCGCATATCTTCTCCACAAGATCAAATAAACTTTCTCATGATTTTTTGCTTCACAATACACAAAAAGATTAACTTTTGGTCAGCATAATTTCAAATTGGAGAAGGTTGTAGCAAACATCAAAAGGGTAAAAATAATTTGTAGAATTCTTGTTTAACTGTCAAATGGATTAGCAAGATGGCGATTGTTCCTTTTTCTTCAGTAACAGCCATCTTAAGATACCGCTTTTTCTCTACTCTTGTTCAGATTTTCTCCGAACCCACCACCAAGACCAAAAATGGCAAAAATACCAAGCCGAAATCATCTTCTTCGAAATCCAAGAAAGCTAGAAAAATTGCCACTATCATCAATACAAACCCATGGTCATCTCATCTTGAATCTTCTCTTTCCTCTATCACTCAACCCTCCCTCTCTCACACCACTGTCCTTCACACACTCCGATTCATCAAAATACCTTCCAAAGCTCTGTACTTCTTCAACTGGACTCAAAAAATGGGTTTTCAACACACCCATCAGTCCTATTTGCTCATGTTGCAACTCCTCGGGAGTTCCCGCAGCTTAAATTCAGCAAGGAACTTTCTTTTATCTATACCCAGAAGGTCGAATGGTGCTGTACCGCTTCAAGATAGGTACTTTAACACTTTGATTCAAAGTTATGGTAAAGCTGGGCTTTTTCAAGAATCATTGAAGGTGTTTAAAGTGATGAAGTCACTTGGAATTTCACCCTCTGTTGTTACGTTCAATAGTTTGTTTACAATTTTGCTCAAGAGGGGTCGAACTGGTATGGTTTACGAACTGTTTGATGAAATGCTTAAGACATTTGGTGCCAAGCCTGATGTGTATACTTTTAACATTTTGATTAGAGGATTTTGTATAAACTCCATGGTTGATAAAGGATTTAGGTTTTTTAAGGAGATGGAAAGGCATGAATGTGAACCAAATGTCATTACATACAATACCATCGTTGATGGTTTGTGTAGGGCAGGGAAAGTGGAGATTGCACATAACGTGTTAAAGGGTATGGCCAAGAGGGGTCATCAATTGAGTCCTAATGTTGTAAGCTACACCACTTTGGTTAGAGGGTATTGTGAGAAGCAAGAGGTTGAACGGGCTCTTGATGTTTTTGAGGAAATGATAGATCGTGGTCTTAAACCGACCAGTATAACTTATAATACTCTTGTACAAGGTCTTTGTGAGGCTAAAAGATTTGACAGAATAAAGGAGATCTTGGAGGGTACTCTAGGAAGTGGAGGACTTATTCCAGATACATGTACTTTCAATACATTGATTACCTATCACTGTAATGTGGGAAATCTGGATGAAGCAGTGAAAGTTTTTGAGAATATGTTATACTTAAAGGTGAAACCTGATTCAGCAACATATAGCATCCTAATACGGAGCTTTTGTCAAAAGGGATACTTTGATAGGGCAGAGAAATTATTTGATGATCTAATGAAGAAGGAGGTATTGCTCCGTGATGATGGCTGTACACCTCTCATTGCAGCATACAATCCCATGTTTGAGTATTTCTGCAAGATTGGCAAGACAAAGAAGGCTGAGAAAGTATTTAGGCAACTAATGAGGAGAGGAACTCAGGATCCTTTTGCTTATGAACTCCTGATCAGGGGGCATTGTAAAGAAGGCACATTTAATGATGCACATGGACTCTTAGTTTTGATGTTGAGGAGAGATTATGTACCTAATATTGTGATTTATGAGTCCCTAATTGAAGGTTTGCTGCAAAAGAATGATCCTAAAGTTGCTTACGATACTCTAGAGAAGATGTTGAAAAGCTCCCATCTTCCAAGATCTTCGATTTATCATCAAATCCTTACAGAACTTATCAAGAAAAATTGTGCAAGTGAGTGTGCTTCCTTGGTGACACTAATGTTAGATAACAAAGTTAGACAAAACATCAATCTTTCAACTGATACTGTGAAGATACTCTTCCAAACAGGATTAAGGGAGAGAGCTTTTGAGATTGTAAGGTGCCTTTATGAAAATGAATACGTGGTAGATATGGAAGGTTTAGTTGCTTTCCTTTGCCAGCGTAGAAAGTTATTGGAGGCATGCAAATTATTGTTATTTAGCTTAAGTAAGGGTCATATTCTGAATGTAGATACATGCAGTACTCTTTTATCTGCTCTCTGCAAAGCACGTAGAGCTTCAGAAGCATTTGAGATTTACTATGAGTTGCTTGAGAAAGGAGTCCAACAACCTTTAGAATGCATAGAAGAGTTGGGGCTTGCTCTTGAAACTGAAGGAAGAATTAAGGAAGCTGAATTTGTTAAAAAGAGAATCCCAGGCTAATCTTAGTCAGATAGATTGGTTCAAGCTTGTGCGTCTGAACAGAGATATCTGTAGTCTGTAGCATGCAGGAGTGTTCTACTGATGTCAACCACATTTGTTCTGAGGTTTGCATATGGTGGTTGACTTACATGACGATGCTATCTGGGGCTGGATGCCTCTGAAATGTGATTATGAGTGATATCAGGTTCATGATTCCTGTTTCTCTTGACAATGGAGAAGTCTGATTTGGACAGACTTGAAAAACATTGAAGAGCAAAAACAACTTAATAGTCCCTGAGCTCTCTGGTTCACCGTCTGGAGCAAATCTGTTGCTTAGTAATGTTACCTTGCAGGTACGGTTATTTAAGAGAAATATGGTGCAAGTACATGCGCGCAGGGGACAGGTTCTACGCGTAATTACAAGAGCGTTGGACATGTTAAACAGTCAAAAACTCCATATTTTCTTTCTCCAATTTTAAGTCGTCATCTGATCTTCTTCCTACCAAGCATTATCAGTGATTACAATTTTATTAAAGCTCTTGCTATAAACACACGGCTTCAACCAAGGGCCTGATAGACTTGTACCGTGAAGTTTATACATTATTTATTAATTTTTGGCTTTTGTAAAAGAAACCTTCCAAAACCATTTTTATTTGAGCAACATTCTTCATAATATTCTTCTGAGTCTCATGGCAAATGCCTGTTTTTCTGGAATTGAACTGGATGTACTATAGCTTTCTTTACCACGAGATTAGAAATCTATGATATATATCACGCATGCTGAGAATTGACACAGAGGATGGTAGAATACATATTTCAAACAACATCTTCATTTCAAAGTTCAATATCATCTTACTATCTCACTGCTGATGCCTTAAAGGACAAGAGATTATCCAAATGTGTTACATTTTCACTGCTCTCCTGTGGGGGACCAAATATCTCCCAGAACCTAAGAGTCTCATCTGCTCCAGCCGATACCACAGTCAAACCATCAGGGCTCTGCATGAAGAGAAGAATCTCAATTTTGATAGAACTGTTACTCCTACTTTATTTGATGTCCGAGTCTCACCTGAGAGAGATGCAGAATTCTTGATGAAGAAGCATGACGCAATGGCTCTCCTATTCTAGCCATGGAAGGATAACTCCATAAACACAACTGACAATGAGATTCACCTCTTCCAAACCCATGGCCACTTAATATCTCTTTGTGATGCCTGTTCCATTGAAGTCCACAAATCTGCCAATTTCATTCACAACAATACAATGCATATGAGGAAAATTTGTGATTAATCTATAAACTGAAATGTCATTGCTCAGAAAGATTGCGAAAGTGATGTTAAAACGTACCTGAGCTCCAGTTTCATTGGTGCTGATGCATGTCCCCTTCTGTGTGTTCCAAATCTTAAGACATCCGTCATCTATGCCCCCTCCAGAGGCTAATACATCACTGCTATATGGACACCAAGCTAGGGCCTTGACTGCAGCTTGATGTTCATTGAACCTGTGCGTATAATGCCTTGAGCTCATCTTGAAACTATCCCATATGTACACCAGATTGTCATTTCCACCACTGGCAAGTGCATTCCCTGTACTAGACCACTTCACCCCACAAACTTCCCCTCTATGTGCTCTTGTTACAGAGACCAAATTGCTTCTTGCTCGCACTGCCAATGAGACTTAAGTAAGTAGGTTGCTGTTACAATAGAAATTAATCAAATACATCAATGGAATAGCTTAGTACTACCATCATGATTAATAATAGCTCTGTCTTTACTTCCTGAGGTTAAAACATGACCCTTCCATGCAACACAACCCACTCTGCTCTGATGGCCTTGCAGGTCTCTCACCTGTTTATGTGAACGAAAGAAATCGATCACTTAAATGTAAACAACACTATTTCTACTACAATGTAACCAACATTAACAAGTCTTACAAGCCTGGAAGTCTCAGCATCCCAGAGCTGGAGTTTAGAGGAATCACAACCAACTGCTACTATTTTCCCATCATCAGACCATGCTACACTAGTAGGACAATCGTCTTCACGCTTCACTTCCATCAGTACCGCAGCTTTTTGCACTTGAGCATTCCATATGTATAGAATTGACCCCAGAACAACAGCAAGTATGTTGGATTTTCCCCAATCCATAACATTCGAGTAATAGTCATCCGATAAAAGAGGAGCATCTAAAGCTCGAATTGCTTTCTGCATATAATATATCCCAACATATTACGTAACACAATCAATAGTGTCTCATAAACTTCATCTAAATTCAAATCTTACCAAAGGAAACTTTCGATATCTCCTATTCTCATTAATTTGCAGGGGAATTTCTTTGTCACTACGCCTCATTTCATCAATTAGACGCGTAGAGTTTCTACTCCATTTAGGACTTCCTCTAAAAACCAGCATTCTGAATGGTCTTCCTTCTACATCCAACTTTAGACTTTCCTCCATTTTCCTTCTATATTCATCCTATCAAAATCATACAAGAAAACAACTAAAATGGGTGTCCAGATACAGAATTTCTTTCCACAATCAGAAAACGTGAAACAAGAAAGAAACTAACATTGAAGTTGGGTTTTTGGAGTTTGTTATTCGTTCTGTTGGTGAGTAATGTATGTGCTTGATGAAGATCCATCAGGCTTCTATTGGGTATAAATCTATCACCCTGCATCACAAATACACTCAAAATCACACATCAAAATGCAGAAAAACAGAAATAAACAAAGGCGAAAAAAAGAAAGAAGAAAACGCATAGTATGGATTGATTAATTACAGGAAAATCATAGTCGAGCGGAGTATCGTGAAGTCGAGTTGGAGAATACCAATCTGGTTGAATTTTTGTTAATGAATTGTCATTCATTTTCGTACATTTCAAATCTTGTTTTGTTAAATTTCAGAGTTTCGATCTCGCTATTGAACAAAGCTTATTGATAATGGTAGTTAAACTTAATGGCTATTTCGCGCCAAATTAGTTTGTTCACTAAAGGAGACGTCGGTTTGTTTCCCCTCAACGGTAATTATTTCTTTTATTTATTTTAAATATAAAATAAAAGAGGAAATTGTAAAATAAACATATTTGTATTATAATGAATGTCTATTACGTAGAGTCCTTCAAGAAAAAAATTAAAAATTTTACTTAGAGACCAAGTCAGATTTCCTATAAATAAAGGGTTTCTTCCTTGTTAATCAGATCAAATTAGTTTGGATGTAATTTTTTTTTTCAATTTTTTTTCTCAAAACAAGTCTATTCATCAAGATGATGACGAGCTAAGAATATCATAGCTTTAGCACAATCTTGCGTTGATGTTTTATTTACATCTTTTATGGTGTCTCCAAGACTCATGCATTCAAATCCCATGAAAGATAATTTTTCTCTGAGCTATAAAAGATAACGAACTCAAATTTTTTAAAATTAGTCATATTAAAAAGAATGAAAATAAATAATACCTTAGCCTTCAAATTATCTTCACTCTTGAAAGTCAAGGAAGGTACTACTCTTGAAGGTTCATACCTTGTTTGATATAGCTAAGGTATTATTTATTTTCCTTTCTTTTTAAGATGGCTAATGTTACGAAATTTGAGTTTATTGTCTTTCATAGTTCGGGCAAAAACTATTTTTTATGAATAGCTGAAATCTATTTGGATGTTATAGGTCTTGAAGATATTATTAACGATGAAAATAAAGCATAAAAGATTGTGATAAAACTATTATATTCTTGCGTCATCTATTTGGATGTTATAGGTCTTGAAGACACCATTAACAATGTAAATAAAGCATAAAAGTTTGTGTTAAAACTATTATATTCTTGCGTCATCATCTTATCTTTATGAAATTTTGAAAATTGAATATCTCATAGTCGAGAATCCACTTGTTTTGGGGAAATCCTGAAACAAAGATATGATCACTTGAAGATGGTCATATACATCCAAAAACACAATATGCATGATTGGATGCATATGAGGTTACAAGACTTTCAATCTATTCATGAGTGCATTCTTCTATATTCAGAATTACTTCTCAATTGAAACTATATGGAGAAACGATTAGTGATATTGATATGAGGAAAAAAACGTTTATCCACGTTCCATACCCGAATGTGTTCTTATAGCAGCAATATCGAGAAAAATTTTCAAGAAATATTCCAAACTAATTAATTTCTCATCTTCTCGTAGTTGAACAAAATATGATTTGTTTATAAAAAAAATTATGAGAACCGGCCTACTGGATCTACATAATTTTCTGGTATGAATAAGGTGTACGCCCACCATGTTCGGTTTGGAAAAGGTCATTATGATTGTAGCCAGAGCAAGATTCTTTTGATGTTGTACAAAAGGTCACCATGTACGTAATTGTTGTATTTCCGAGCACTCGATTGAGCTTTTTCAAGCATGATTAGGGCCCG